CGTACTCGGATAAGTGAATGCTTTCTCGACCGCCTAAGGGCAAAAAAAAGTTCGTGTAACGCGTAACAAGCAGAAATTTAACTCACCCTTCTTTTTCGGTGTAAATGGAACTGGCACTGTCGATACTGTGTCGGATGCAGTCGTAGCGGACGAAACAGCCGAATGTGGACGTTTACGCACTGACGGAAGAGCTGGTAGAAGCGGATCACCTTTACGGCTTGTTTCGGATCGAGTAAGGTGACGGCTGATCATCGTCGGTTTCTTCTTGATGCTGCTGAGCCGTTCGAAAGAGCTCGTCGAGATCTACAAACCCAGCGAAAAAAGTAAACAAAAATTTTTTTGGGAAAACTCGTTTTTTAACGCTAACTTTTCCGGGTTATTATAACTCGGTAAACATTTTTGAAAAGTTTTTATTTTTTCGCCTGTTTGTTGCCCCACATCTTGCCTATCGAATGGCGAAAACTGCGGGTCTCTAGCATTTTCCGTTAAAAAGATATTTGCGTCGCACTAAAGTCCACCGTTCATTGAAATGGACAGTAGTGCACTCAAAATTGAGATTAGAAATACGCGACGTTGTAACCAACTAATCTACCATATCGCTATGAAAATTTTGATGATTACAACGCCGCGATTTTTACTGAAGAAAGTTGTACTCTGATTAAATTGGAAAAGTAAAGTGGTTAGCGCGAATTAATTTGGCTTAGAAACTCATTCAAGATGTAGTGCTTCTCTAAGGGATGAAAAATAATACAGAAAAATAATTTAAAAACATCATATCTAACGTTAACTATTTCACTTAGGAAAGAATTGGTCGTATGTGCGATGATTCAAGTTTAAGTTAACATGAACCTCAAATCTATAGAATCTCGAATAAACTTAGAAGAATTAACATTGTATTCTAATTTGTTAACGTATTGCTAATACAGAATAAAGTTTGAGAAGTTGATATTGCTGGTAACTTGGCTTTATAACTCTGTTTGGCTCAAAAGTGTAGCTTTTTCGTCAATAGCTTCAAAATTCAATCAAGTAGTTTGTCGAAAAATAATGTCAGCGTCATATACAATGTAAAACAGATGCTGATTAATTCAAACGAAGATTGATTTCAAAAAGAAAATATATACATCGAACTACTTACCTGTAAAATTGTTGCTGCACTAACTAAATAGGTTTCTTCCATGTCTGTAAAATGAGTAGAACGTCCAGCTCCACGATGAGCAACTTGTGAAAAATGGTGAACATATAGCGTAGAATACAGTATGTTATACTTTTTAGCAATAGAATGAATGTTAATTTCATTTGAAATTTCCTTTAGTGCAGAATGAAAATCTTCTTCAGAATAACGAGATCCTTGGCCTTTCTTAACGTATGTACGAGGCATAAAGTTTGCAAAAAAAAGTAATAGTGAGCAAAAAAGTAATGAAGTGTAAGGGTTATAATGTTTTTTAGTTTTTATAGAGCTAGCGCATCTTTTTGAAATCAATCTTCATTTGAATTAATCAGCATCTGTTTTACATTGTATATGACGCTGACATGCTGACGAAAAAGCTACACTTTTGAGCCAAACAGAGTTATAAAGCCAAGTTACCAGCAATATCAACTTCTCAAACTTTATTCTGTATTAATGGGGGAAATAATAATAATTCTAAACCTGTTCACTGGAAATTGATTAGAACTAATTAATGATAACGAATTTTAGGAAAATTTTTACATCAGTAGATAGCTAAGAGTCAGCTCTATCTACCTGCATAATACTAATTTTCTCCGGTGAAAGATGACTTAATTATGCTCAAAATATCTGAAAAGTTTTAGGCGATTATCAGAATTACCCCATGTGACTCTATAGTTAAATGCTGATGACTATCCAAAAAGCAGGTCCTATTCTTGATTTCTTTTACTGATCAGAAAATACACAAATCCTGACCAAGAAAACACGACAAAGACTTTTTTACTTACAGTTTGCTGACCAGTCGTCTAATCAGGAAAACTGGACGTTCTCTAGGGTCCATCTGTGAAGTGTCGTTTTTTCCCGAGTAAAAATGCTTCAGATACGCTCAAAATACTGTGAAAATTAGAGAGGCTATCCGGAATTATTCCACTAATCATTAAAAATACTGCCGCCGAGTATCGGCAAAAGCTTTCTGAAGAAAGTAAAGCTATTTCAAGGAACAAACGAGATTCTTGGCACTCATGTTTTCATACATTTAACGACTCAAACTCACTAAACAAATAGAAATGTTCCTAAAGACCTCTCTCACGTTTTCCGATTCACTGTACTATATCATTTCCATTTAATAAAGTGAGAAATAAATTCGACCAATAGGATTAGTCCTAGAGATCGCTCATAGTCATTTTCTGGTTCGTCATAGCCGATTACCTACATCATATCATTATCATCTCATATATACACATTATATAAACATTTTTAACGACTTTTAATGAATGGAATCGATCGTATGTCAGTTATTTATGTATAACTCGAAATTGTATACATGCATTCATCAGAGAAATGAATAGCAATAGAAGAAGCATCACCATCACATCACTTAAATACCACAAAAGATTTGAAGAAATATAAGTAGGAGCATTTGATGACAATGCATGTTTTTGTAAATATAGTGAACGATTTTCATGAATCAGGTCATCGATTTGTAACGATAATGTATCCTTTCTGTCAGTTGCTGGATGCACTATATCTGTTACATTATTAGGACGTCTAGATATGTTCTAACAGAAAACGTTGTGAAAACAGGTTCATTAAAACATTGCACTCAATCATGAAGCACAAAATTATGACATTGCAAATATTTTGCACATAGCACTTTAATAGTGCTAAATAGTGGTAACGTTACCATCAGATCATATGCAGCTCTGGTGCCGATTATGCCAGTATGTTGTAATAATATGCATGCTGTCGATTCTGGAAGAGGTAATGCCGATAAAGTATGAAATAACGCTACCAATGAATACTCGACATCTGGTATTATTTCTAAGCGAGAATGTTCATAAGTCTTATTGCTAAATATACTTTTTAAGCATTTATTGGCAATATCTGGGATAATTTTACAAATGATAAATTTGAAGAAAACACATTATTTCACTTCATTATCATATCCGGATACTGTGCGTTAAGTGAGTTCAATAAAACCAATGAAATTTAGTAAATTTCAGTTTTCGAAAGTGTATCAGATACAAACATGGAATTAGCTTAATTTCATACACGTCAAATATGCGTTCAGATAAACTGCTTGGTATATGTAAAAAGCAAGAGAAACGTAAGAACTCAACTGTATTGCTCATGCCTAAAGGAAAAGAAGCTAGATCAGTGAATAGAATAAATTATTGGTATCCCCTTTAAAACAGAATATCTTTGACAACGACGGAATAATATTTTTTTTCTTCTTTCGCATTGTGCAGTTATTTTAAAATCATAACAATATATGCCTTTAAAAGATCCGTGGAACAGATGACTGAATCTCACACACAGATATCTTCAACTTAGCTAATATAAGATATTTTAATGCCTCAGAATACCGTTCTCCTTTACTATACTTGGCTGCTCCTATGTTATCATGAATTACTGATATTTCAGCAGAACAAAGGATTTTTGCCATCAGTAAAACTTCAAGAGCTTTCTCATAGTAATTAATTGCTACTGAATAGTCACAAATTTCATGATGAATACGTCCAATATTATTATACAATGTTGCTAATGAAAAACCACCTCCTGGAAAAGGCTTTATTGCTACATCAAAGCTTACTAATTGATCTTTTAATAGTATTTGAATCTAACCAACGAGAAGTTAACAATTAAGAGAAAAGTTATCAAGATAAAAAACTTGAAAAATTTTGTAACTCGCCGATAGAAACATTTTTGAAAATTCGCATGGTTCCCAAATTGACTAAGATACTAGGTACTAAGACTAAGATTCTAGGTAGAAACATGTTAAACTCAGTTTTAAAATTTTATTTATTTTGAAGTTTGGGAATTCCCAATATTATTTATAAAATACGATGGTCCAAACGGTACCATTGTTCAACCAAACCTATTGCATAGAAAATAATCCGACTGTTATGAAGAGCTGCTGATTGTTATCTTATATGAGAAAGAGTATAGTAAATCCAAAAAGATACGATCATTTCTTAGAACGTTGTCATTCTATTCAGTCAGGAGATCAAAACGTACCATCTGGCTATAATCCAGAAAGAAAAAAAAGACATTTCCAAAATATCGCAGTAAACAAATTTGAAAAAACATCTTCCTAACATCTCAGGGTTGCCAACTGTACCAATTCTAATGTGGCACATATTAATCTAAGAGGAGGGACGTCACTGGTATCTCTCATATGTCCGTCATTGTAGAGAAATTTTTCGACTAAGGGACACTCAGAGTGACGGATTTTTATGAGTACAAATCTTCAAGTGAGGGACTGTCCTTCGCATGGGGAGACATTTGGCAATCCTGCAGCATCTATATTTCCAACCATTTTCAATAATTTTATTTCCTAACAACAAGAACAGCGACTATGATGAAAGAACTTATTAGAAAGTTATTGTTTCCTTTATTGTGTTTTCATGCTTTTACGAAATATTTGATAGGTACTACCTCATACGTATATACATATATGTATATTTTGTACACGTGTCATCTTAATGCATCACTTAGTGGAACATTTCGAAACAATAAGAAGCATCTGGTACTCATAAGGATTTTAACAAAAATTAATAATGTCGACCCTATTCTGGCACCCATACGAATGTTCAAATATTTTTTCAAGGGCATTTTCTTAATCAAAATTTTATGGCTGACCTTTTGATAGGTTACTAACTTTATAGTGAAATCTGTTCGCCTAAATTCACGCAATTATGTCACACAGTACGCACAAATGAACCAGTTGTCCATTACATCAAAGAAAGATTCTGTTTCGGTTTATACTAAATAAATAAATATTGAAAATTGTATGAGTACTTTGCTTTCGGCTATCAAACACATTAAAATATTTTTAATAAAATGCATTTTTAATTCGTTTTTTTGCCGATGGTTTTGGTTTCATTGTACTTTTAAATTTCGGAATTGAATTCGATTGTAATGATGGCTTTTCATTATTCGCTGTCGTGTTCGTAATACTTTTTCTCTTCTTTTTCTTTAATTTTGGTGTTTCTTGATTCTGATTAGGCAAGGAATCTGTTGACCAAACAACCGCCTCATTTTGATCAGCGTCTACACTATTGACAATATGCATTGTTGATTGTTTCGAATTTTTAGATAAACGAATTTTACCGATCATATCTGTTCGAGGTTTAACAAGGATTTGAGCAGTAGGCTGAGCAGGATAAGGTTCAACAATAATTGTTCGTCGAAATACCGGTAAATTTTCAAGTGATTGATCTGGTTTAACATCTGAAAACAAGAGAACACATGATTGTGGAAAGAAACAAAGCATTGTAGTTCATTAATGTCATATTAATAATAGGAACTTTACAGGAATCGCTTTCTTGAGTAGTGCAATGACGAAAAACGGTCGTTAAGATGTATATTAGATTTCTTTAGTACAACGATCGAAGCAAAATTTTAGATTTTTTATTTTTACTCAGCTTTATCCTACTTAAAATTATTTACATGAAGATAGTCTGTAATATAAGTTATAAATAACTTACTTTGCACATCTTCAAAGTCCGCTGTCACGCCAGAATCTTTCATTATTTTTGTTTCTAACATTGTGCCTGTTCCAGCATCTTTAACTACAACTGTTCTGGACGGCGGAGGTTTTGCCGATGTTTGTGTACTGATTATTCGTGGCGGATCGATGAGTTTAGTTTCGCTGTTATAGGAAACTATTGAAGGTGACGATCGTCTCCAGTGGCGATGGTGATGATGAGTGTGTGTGTGATGCCTTGGATGTTCAGAATGATGATGGTGGCCATGATGACGATGATGATGATTTCGATATGAATGATTATCATTTGATATCATACTAAAATCCTCTTGTAAATCTTGTGCCTTATGTCGTCTTTCTCGATGATGGCTATCGGTCGGTTTTACTCGATTATTTGTCGAAGGAGTAGCTTGACTTTGAGAACGTCTTATGGGAGAATAGGGTCTGTGTCTAGCCAACATTCTCATCTACAATAACAACAGAACAGAACTGGAGTAAATCACTTTTTTTCGAAAATTTTTTGTACGAAATCAATATGCACAGGAATACTCCATTGTGCTTGAAATATACAATTGAAGAGATTCTAAAACATACCGTTTCACTTGTTTCTGGTGCCTTTTTTAGCACGGGTAATGGTTCTTCAGTTACAACTGAGTTTGGAAATAGATTATCAAACCGTTGTTCCGTTCGTCGTTGCGATGGCCATTCTGTGGTCTGTTGTACTGGATGATAATCGACACTCGATGTCCACAAAACAGGTTCATAAGCAGTGGCCGCAAAACCATTCTGTTGTAACAAATCTTCGTTCGTCATCGGTTGTCCAAAATAGTCCACTTGATACGACGATGGGGGTATGTATTGTTGCTGAGGGGCTGGTATAACACCATACTCTTGATAAGAGGGTCCACCAATCGGGGGTAGTGCGGGTTCATAGGTATTCGATGAATATGGTGGAGCAACAATTGATTCACGATGTTTCATGATAGTTCTTGGTGGTGGTCTCGGTTTTTCTTTCATACGCTTTTGATGCCAAACACCGATGAGAATAAGTAAAATACTAAGAACAAATACAAATATACATATACCAATACCAGCAAGTTTTGCCGGATTCGAAGTTGTATCAGGATAACCTTGGAAAATACAGATGATGAGTTAAAGGACAGGAGTTTAGTGTGATCTTGATATTATATGTTTCAAAATGAATCGTATCCAAAAATTTTCTGAGTCATGATAAATCACAGACAAAAGATTTTTGCATTGATATCTCATATCGAGAGTCCAATTAAACATTCTAGAGAGAACACATTTTTAAGAGAATGAAAATTATACCTGCCCCATAAAAAATACTAGATAAAATCAACATTGCAACCGCTAACATTGCTAATATAACCAAAACGCTGTAATAGATATATGATCCACGACGAGCCATGCCAAACGGGCCATCATACGTATCGTCATCATAGTCAATAGGCTAAATGAAAAATAAGAGTGAACACTTTTAAAAAACAGTTCCTTGCTAATGTATTATATTACAGCTTAAAGCTAAACACACCTACTTCAATTGCAACTTCTCCAGTATTATTATCAATAAGTATTTCCTTTTTCCAATAATCATCAATATCTTTCTTAGATTTTGACTGTCTGCTGGCGATCGTTTGTGGCGGTTGATAGATTTCCCCATTAGGTAAATAAACCGGGTACATGCTTGGATCAAGTGGAACTTCATCTGCTTTCTTCGTTTGTTTATCTTGTTTTGTTTTAGCTTTGATTTTCGCAGTATCGTTATCATTGTCGACGTCCAATTGATCCTCTGTCTGTTCAAACTCTTCTTGCTCTTGTTCTTCTATCTCTTCAACTTGAGGTTTATTCGCTTCGATGAGGTCTTTGAATAAGGAGCTGTCAACGGTTACTCTTGGCATATTTTTTTCAACTGGATTACGTAGTAGATTTGATCGTTGATCGACTCTAACCGATCGTAAAATGTCTTTATCCGCTAGACCGTGATCAGTAGCGATATCAACACTCTTCGATAAATTTGCCGCATTATGATGCTTTATTGTTGTTGTCACGTCTTTCTTCTTCTTCGATCCGCCACCAATGTGCGATATTCCTGTTCCACCGAGAACCCCACTGGCTGAAAGTGGATTTGATGTTTTAACATGTTTCTTTGGTGTTTTGGGTGTTGTCACTGGTTTTCGATCTGTTCGTGAAGGAGTGGATTCTTTCGCTTCTTTTTCTTGCGTTGCATCATATCCGGGATAAAAGTAATATCCGGGTGGATAGGATGCCATCTCGTGTTATATCAGATAGCTAATGCGTTACCTTGTAGAGAGAAAGTATGTACAGTCAAACATATAATCCATTAACACTTTAATCTGTTTGAATTTATTGAAAGAAACAGAAAAGAACGCATACATACGAAGGCATATATGAAACATAAATTTATTTACACTTCAATTTGTAAAAAGCTATTCTCATGATCAACACATTAATTTTGATCAAAAAGAACAAAAAAAGAACAGAGGCTGGCCCAAATGTTTTTATTACAATGTGTGTTTACTATTCCAAAAATACTAAAAAGCAATAAACAATGAAACCCAGTTACGTTCATTTCGGACAAAATAAAAGGACATTTTTGTTTTGTTTTCTATGCACAAGAAGGAAGTTAAAAAAACATAGAAAGAAGAGAAAGAATTTTACTCTATTATGATCATGAGAAAGGCCTGATAATGCACTCGTTTAAAGGTATATGATCGAGTCATTATTGAACAGTTCGAAATAAAAGAATAGGTATAAACGATTGGTATAAACTCTTGATTTTAGATACCAAAAGAGAAAAAGAGAGAGAAATACGATTACACCGGAAATAGGGATTTGGTTCTTAGAACTACGACAAAGGCTCAAAGAGAGATGTTTAACTGCTCCATTTTCAGCGTTACCACAGCCACTAACAGATGAAGTCACCAAGAATTTTGAGTATAAGTCATCATCATTTAACTGCGAAAGCCTTCTTCGCTTATAGATTTCAAACTTGTATCTTACTGTCTTAAACAGAACACTGTAATAGTAGACAAACGTATTTCTCACCTTGTATTTCACAAGTACCTAATCGATTTTCTCCAGTTATGTAAATAAGTCTACATGGTCAGCTAAATCAGCGTATAAATTTCAAGTGATTTGGATAAATAGTTTCGAAAATAACACATCGCTACTTTCTCTTATCAAAATGCAAATAATTTCTGACCTATGGTGTGAACGAACAGTTTTTTTATACGAAAATGTAACTACGGACTATCATCTGTCTACGATATAAATTTCATGTGTTTACTATCACCAAGTAAATAATTAAAGTCTTTTCACGATCGATAGCTACTTTTGATATTTGTTTTTCCATCATTATTTAATATATTGCTATAATTGGGCCTAAATAAAATCCTTTTCATCTAAAATTTTCAGACAATTTAAAAAAATGCTTCAAGGTATTTATGTACTTTGATGTGTTTTTTTTATTTGTAGCACAGTCTAAGGTTAGTTTGTGATCAACCGTCGTAGCAGACAAACAACATCACCATTAGCGAGAAGCTCAGTAGTACTTTTTAGAGGAAGATTACCATCAAATCTTGCCTAGGAAGAGCATATTAAAATTCATGTGTTAACTCTCGGGAAAATACGTTTATCAATCTATAAAGGTTAAATATAAGTAAGTTTGACTACAGCAGCGTAGCTTACGATAGCAGATGGTATGTTAACGAATGAAATACGGTCACAAGATTAGCAGGTCGTTTGTTTAATAAAAAAATTGATGAGTCAGTGTTAACAACACAAGTAAATAAACGCGAGTTGGTGGATTTAAAACGGAGGAGAAAATATTTTTGACTACTTTAATTTCATAAATGAAAAGCTCTTTCTATTCAATGTCGTCCTTCGACTCTGTAAAAAAAAATAGTATCAGGAAGCACAGTTATCTCTTATAAGAGGGCCCTGTACGTGAGCGGCTTATGCTACTGTTGTATCATTTCTAGAAAAACAACGTAGAAAATTGAACTTCTGTGTGAACATTTTTGACTATTTCAGTGAATTCTAACAGTCCAAGAAACGATAAAAACTGATTTTTCCTACTGTCATTGAGTTGCCGCTACGAAAAGCATAATAATCCCCGAGCACATAGCGATAAAAACGACATCAAATGACCTTTAAAACTTTTTTTTAATACACCAACCAAGAGGTCTCTATAAAGATGTGTAATTCAATACATTTTACTGCTAGTTATAGTTCCTTTTATATACAAACTCGTGAGATAATCTATCGTTCAGTATTCTTCGGCCCCAGAATACCTATGACTACATAAGAGGCCCCTCAAACACGCATGGCTATAATTGTCTCGTCGAATTCTATCGAATGGTATACAATAAAGCTAAATTTAGTGTATTTTTCATGAAGATTTAACATGTTAATCCCATGAGACAAATCGAATTGGAAAAATCGCCCGAAACATTTTTCTTAGAAACGACACGATATTTTGAGTCTAAAAGTTTGGCGTACGCTTCACATCACGGGAGAAAACAAGGATAAGAAAATTGCTGAGAAATATTGAGTATTAACAGAGATATCCGAAAAACAAAATCAAGGGTCTCGTAGGACATTCAGTGCATAAAGCTTGTTTCTGGCGAGGCAATTGTTAGTTTTTAGAGTAAGGAGAGCATTGATCTTTTACTTTTTTTATCAAAATGATTCTCAATCTATAGGCTATCTTTTGGCTATTTTCGATTCAAGTTACATTTAGTTTCAGCTGAGATCTGTGAGATTCACCCTTGTAAAAAGTCAACACATAGTTTTGGATAATTTTTCAAAATAACCATGCATATTTGAAAATTATGCGTATAATTCACACGACCCTATGTATAAAAGAGTCCTATGCAGAAGAGTTTTGCTATGCCTATTGATGCATAAGACTTTTTTTATCTATAAGGAAACCATTCTATACGTAGACCGTGACTTTTTGTTATCAAAATGCTGCCCTATCCTATGCATAATGCAATCTAGATCGTAATGGCAATTATGCATAATTAGACTATTTTATTATGCGAAACTATGTACATAGGACCTGTTTAGATAGTCAAAGTTATCAGTCAAGTACAGAGACTACTGCAGGGCAACTTTTTCCGTCCTGCCCTGTCAGAAAACTACTCATCAATATTTTTTGGCCCTGCCCTGTCTGGCTGGGTAGGACGCCCTGCAGCGCAAAAGAAAGTTTTTCTCTTTAACCTAGAAGACTTTATCAAGAAACTCATCACAAATACTGGATGTATTTCTCGTGTGTAACGGAATCTTTTTTTTATTAATTGGCTGTCATTTTAATGGCTTTTCTGCTGTGACTTTAATGGCTGTCATTTTTATTTTCACATATACGAGAGATCTCAAAATTTTACTTAAAAAGAAGCTTGAAAATCTTAAGAATCAATCTTTCGCAGCAAATCAAAGATTTTTTTGTTGCCCTGTCATGCAGCAGGACAGAGTAAAAAAGATATATCGCCCTCCCCGGTAGGGCAGGGCAGCAGGACAATAGGGCAGCCCTGTCCTGCAATGGTCTCTGGTCAAGCACTACGTACTGATCTAAACTTTTCTTAGAGTTTACAAATCTTCGTAATTTACAAGAAGTTTTGGCTTTCAATAGCTGATCCAGATATAAATCAGGTCTGAAATTTTTGAGATTGTCACTTGTCAGCAAACTGAACACCTGATTCAGAGTTGAATCAGTTGATCAGCATTTTCATCTCTGAATCAGAACATACATTTTAAGGAAGTCTTATCCAGTTCTGATAAGATTACATAGAGCACTAGCTGATTCACCTTCAAACTGAACTGATTGTCGACTGATACATAAATTTTTACGAAAATTTTATAAAATGAAACTTGATCCTATTGCCCCTTCCTCCTTTGTAGATTGTCACGTACGTAAACCACTCATATAGAGTTAATGCCGGTACAACCATTTAGACAATTTGTTTTTAGATGATTGTTACATACAACGCCTTGTTCGTGCCTTTCTGCTCTCATGCGAATAACAAATAAACTGACTATACAAACTCAATTTTGGCTCTACCAACATACGTTGTTTTGCTTTATGACGATAACTCGTGCCCTACAGAGAACGTTAATTACCGTCGATAATTAACTCAATAGTAAAGAGTATTGGAGTCGCATCGCATAGAGGAATTATATATATATATATGGCTAAAGCATTTTAATCAGGTTTAAGTTGTTATCAACTGGATAGAGATGGTATAAATCAAGTAGAAAAATCTGACCTTTTTTTATGTGAAACGCCATAGAACTTATTAGTACAGTTTATTAGTGTATTAATCAATACTCATTAATTTGCAGTTTTAAACTATTAGCTGTAGCCAATATAAAATAAAAAACTTAATCTCAATGAAATATATTGAGTAAACGAATCACCATCTTGTACCAAACTTTCTTTGACTGTACTATAGCAAATGATAAAGTTCACCAGAACCAGAAACTCTATCACATATATGAACACATATATGAAAACTAGACTTCGGTCCTGAACATAAGATGTTACTCATTACGTCTAAATTACATAGAATATTTCTCATTAAATTAAACGTCGTTCGTCATTCGAGTTAATACAATTTTTTCCGCCAACACAAATAATTTTAATATATACACGATAGTGCGAATCATCATCACAGCTAGTTCTGTTATCCCTTTATTGGATTTTTCGAAAATGGCGTAGTCAGAGATGAATAACTCCAACTCTGCGACTCCGATTCGAAATTTCTACAAATCCAACATTTGTATTCTCCTTTATTATATCACATAAGATTTTTTTCGTTCTATAACGCGATGCCAAGATATATTGAACGTCTCTATAGTCTGTGACCCAACCACATCAGCATTGATAGGTACATAGTGTGGTTTTTCTACTATTTAACCGATTGTTTTGGCTCAAGTAACTATCCGAGTGTTTTACCAAGTTGTATAAAGAATCCACCATCTGTTTAATACAACAATCTACTCTTTCAAACAGACGTCAAGTACACCACTGGCAGGTGATAAGTGATATGACGTTAATGCTTTAGAGTAAATTCATAGTCTCTCAAAAAAATATATCGAGTTAAAACTTACGAATGTTAAACAATAACTACATTATAATATGTAAAGTGGTAGACAAAAGTTTAAGACTATTTCTGGATTTTCTTGTAAACGAAAGTAGCTAGAAGATATCCGACAACATATTTGTGTAGAGAGCACTTTGAAATAACTAGACACATAATAAAAATATTTTAATCTAAATTTAACCGAATTAAAAAATTTAACAAGCCTAAAATTTTAAGATTTTTTAAAATTAGTTAAAAGGCGTTTTTGATCATTCAGTAAAATAAAGCAAACTTTTCTCATCAAAAGGAGACGTTCTGCAGATTTCTGCGGGCTTTTTTGACCGAGTTATAAAGTTTCTCGCAGAAGCACCGAACAGGAAACAACCATCAAATTTACTAAAAGAAGGCATTTTTAGTGCAAAAAAAGATGTTGGCGTTTTTTTCGGGAAACTGCATAATTAGACTTGTTAAATTTTGAAAAGTTCATTTTTTTAATTCGGTTAAATTTAGATTAAAATATTTTTATTATGTGTCTAGTTATTTTAAAGTGCTCTCTACACAAATATGTTGTCGGATATCTTCTAGCTACTTTTATTCAGAAGAAAATCCAGAAATAAAAGTGCTCTTAAACTTTTGTCCTTCACGTTATCTTTTTGTTCTCCATTATGATTTCTGATTTTACACCCATCTATGTTTCTGTAGGTTAAACGAAATGTTAATTCCATAGTTTCAATAAAAGATAATAAACTAACATCAATCCATCACATAAAATTAAAACGTAAACTCAATTTTTGTTTTAATAAACAAATCTTATTTTTTAGAAGTTTTTTTGTTCTGATTACTGTAAAATCAAGGAATTACATTAATAAATCAAGAATCTTATGACTAGGATAGAAGAAAATATATTGCAGTAATACACAGCATCAAGAAGTTGCAGTCTTAGAATACTTTTCCTTGTATGACTTGTTTTCCATTAGATAACAACTATTATTTATTTTACCCTAACTACTATTTCGCTGTGGCTTTTGATGTGAAAAAATCTGAAGCGTAGCTAAAAGATAGAGTAAAGTCAAGCTACAAAATAGCTAATTCAGTTTTTCTTACTTTCAAAACGTTAACACAAGAAATAATTTTTGAGTTTTGAAAGTTTACATTTTTTTTCGACTTTCATCTAATTGGCTTAGTTTTCTTGATTGACGTTCTGAAATTATAGTCTAGGTATGATTTTGTAGAGTATTGAATGACGAATCTTTTAAAAAAGAATTTAGCCGATAGCGTCAAAACTGACTGAGTTATAGCAAAAATAAAGTAGTGTAATTCTTTATAACCCACCCGTTAACTATACTCTGTAAATGTTCACAAATAGAACTGCTACTACCTTATGAACAATTTGTACTGAAGGAATGATAATTTGTTAAACATCCCTAATGAATTATAATTTACATTAAATATTTCTATAAGGTATTAGACATTAAAATGGTTAATGCATTGTCATGCATTAGAAGCAGTTACTGTGTTGTAAAATAATTTTTCAACGTTTAGATATAATGGATTGCAACTACTTAGCGAATTGTAATAGATTAGCCAAAATAATGATTGATAACGCGATAGCTAGACTAAGCTATTATATAGTAACTGATTGCATCACAGGCAAGTCAAATGAATATTTAAGAAAATGATATAAATTAGCGAAATATGAATTTATTTAGGAATACTCAATTTTGTTTTAATCTTGGCTCAATAAAGTTTTGAAAAGATTTTTTTAAACTATATTCATTTAAACGAATGTTGACCTGAAGTATGCTAATTTCCCATATAGGTGAGAGTGACATTCACGAGTGATCATAAAAACAAACGGAGTAAAGTGGAGAATAGTTTCATAAGTACAGCAAACAAAATTCTACTAGCCAAAAAATAAAAGAAATATTCTCCAGGCACAAAAGAACATAGAAAAGACAATCTCATAAAACAAAATACACGTGAACTACGATAAGAATAATGTATTTTCTTTCCAACATGAATTTTTAACACCATTTTCTATGCAATTTTTCTTAATTTTCTATTAAAGTTTTTTAAAAAAGTGTTTTTTCTGTCAAAACACTTATCGAAACACTTTTTGTTAAATGTTTATTTTCAAAAGCTTTTTCATTTTTTCAAATTTTTACCAAACTATATGCGCGCCAAAATATTTTTAGAGTTCTGTAATCTAGTCACTAGAAAAGAAACAGTCAAGAACCCTCTATTTTATAGTCATGTTGCCAAATATGTTCTGAAACTATTTAGGAAAAAAGATTTTTATAGTTTCATTAAACAGTCATTATCCGTGCTTCCATTTTCTAGACAAATTGATGAATACAAATATGACTTTTTTCGAAATTCTTGGATTTGATAAACAAAATGATGATATGAAAAATTTGGAAAAGAAATTAACTCTGTTGCAGACTGTTGTAAATGATAAAGAAGATGTTAATGAATAGAAAGTATTTATACTGGCAGAAAGTATTACGACTGCAATAAGAAAGTTTTTGACCAACAACTACACAATAAAAAAACAAGAGAAATCACTCAATTATATCTTGATATCAATGATAAACAATTAAATTTCAAGTATAGTGAACATAATATAACAAATGAGAAACTTGACAAAGGAAATTTTGAAGTATTTTCTAGGAAACTAAAAACAAAAGAAGGGCGTCAAATAGATATTGCTGCAAAAAAGATACTATTAGATCGATTTAATTTACAAGAAGTCCGTTATATCAAAGATCTTAATGATTTGGCAAATATTGTTAAATATTTTGGTGTGAAGAAAAGTTTAGATGAACCAGCCAACTATTGTATTTTAATGGAAAAATGGACTGTGATTTTTTATACGAATATGTTATAAGAAAAGACACCTGAACGCTTTTAATGCTGAGTTAATGACAAACATGTTTTTTCAAATAGCTAATGGTTTTACAGTGAACAGTCAAGAAGTTTTGTTAGATACACTCCCAGATGTTTGTGAGCACATCAACATTGACAAGTGCATAGAGTGATTTTCTTCTTCAATCTTATACAATGACAAAACGTAGACTTTAAAATTAACATTGCTAAAACGATCTGGTTTTGTGTATGTGTACTTTTATACATAAGAGAGGAATAAACAAACAGCTAATCAAATAATGGAAACAAAACAACGAGGGAAAAATTGCTTATCGGAATTGAATCTAGAATTAGAGTTAAACTTACGAGGGAACTTTTCGAGGTGATTAAACACTTTTTGATCGGAATCTAGTGGGTTATGGGTTATCGACCATGCTGATTATGAATATGACCATGGGGGTTGCCCTTAGCCTTTCGAAGACCTGGTTTTCTAGAAAACCAGTTTTTCGGAAACTCTAAAATATAACCCGAACCTTTCTTAATGAGGCCTGATTGTAGCCCGCAAATTTCTGATTAAAATGAGATTTCTCCCAGCTTTACACGACCTTTCTTTGCAAAGTTATAGAATTTACAAGAAAAGCCCTAAATGTTCATTGTCAGCTCAAAGCTACAGAAATCAGAAGATATTAATTTAGGGTTTTTCTTGTAAATTCTATAACTTTGCAAAGAAAGGTCATGTAGAGGTGGGAGATATCTCATTTTAATCAGAAATTTGCGGGCCACAATCATACCTCATTAAGAAAGGTTCGGGTTATATTTTAGAGTCGATAACCTATAACCCACTAGATTCCGCGCAAAAAACGTTTAATCACCTCGAAAGGTTCCCTCGTTAGTCGGTATTCCCCATCTCTGGGCATAGCTGAAACAAACAAATCATGATCACATCATATTTCGTTCATCATACAAAGAATCGCTTAAAATTTCACATACTCGTATTTACTAGAATAAAAAATCTCAAACAATAGAATGCATCATCAATGCAATAAAATGCCAGGAAAAAACCACAATTACTAAAAACAAAGTAGTCAATTTGCACTTTCAATGTGAAAGATACCGACCAAATTATATGCTGTACAATTCTAAACAATATTTGCTGCTCTTGGACAATGAACCAACCACAATATAATCATTATCATTGCCTAGTAAATTTACACTTGATATAACTCGATTTGTTAAAATATCCAAATTCAATTTTTTCATTTCACCCTTCAAATTAGATTGAACAAGATAATAATCGATTGTTCTTCTACATTGCTCCAAGGCAACAAGTAATTGTCCATTTAAGATGGTTAAAAATTCAAAATAACAATTTGGTAACTCAGGTTCCAAACGATCTAAAACTTTCATTGTATGAACATCAACTAGTTCAATTGCTGTGTAATCACCATTATCAATATTTGTATTCATTATCAGACGATTTTGTTTGGCTAAATATTGAATTTTTGTAATTTGAAAATATTTCGCTGTAATTAACATTGGATTTTGTGACCACCGTTTCAATAGTTCACCTGTTTTTAATGAATAATGTTCAATATATTGACCATGTCCACAATTAATAAACAGAGAACTTCAACAAAGATGAAATATTAGAGAAACAGAGAATTCAAATATTGTATGTTCTCTTTCTTACCCGTGATCATCATTTGTTGTTATCGATGAATATGGTGTTTTATGTCCTCCTCGATCGTGTTTAAGAATAATTTTGTCTATTTCATACGTTGTCGGATTAAATTTAGATAATCGCGTACGTGTTAATATTATAAATTCATTGAGATATGAACACCATTGAATATCTTCAATATCTTTCCAAGATGAACTATGACTTAAATGGTCTAATCGTTTATTGAGTAAGTAAAATTGATCATAATCATAGACAATGATGTGTTCGAATGATAGAGCCAAATGACATCGGGAGTTCATATTAAGAATATCAACCTTTTTTACTAAATTTAAATTCTGTAGAAGTTTTTCGATAATTTCAAGGGACGTTAGTGATTTATTCTTATATGCGGTTAGAATTGGTTCACCGTAACGCTCATTTTGTTCTCTAAATGCAAAACAAACTTCAGTAAATAAAACCATAATTAATCTACAGATGGTGTTCTACACTTTCCGTGTATCAATAGAAATCTGTAAAAAATAATGTTCATTAACTCACTTTTGTTGTATGTGTGAATAGAATACTGAACTTTTTGTTGATTGAGATTTTTGTGAAATCGAACAACAACATGGTATTTTCTCCATACGACCGACCTCTTTTGATCGTTTTTTATCACTGTCGAAATGTTGCAGAGTAAAACTTTCATGAGAATGAAATGTACCCATATCTAAAACAACAACTGAGCGTTATTTTCAGCTGCTATTAGTGAAACAAACTTGAAATCTATGTCTTCATATTTGAGCTTAATGAAAAGACTTGTCTAATTAGCAATTGCTAGCTTATGGTGTCAGCTTATACTAGCAGAACATTCGTTTTTTAATGAAAGATGTTTCAACCTTCAAAAAAGTGATGAACTTTTTAATATGTTCGATAAAAACGCAAAAATTTCTCACGTAAAAGATAAAATTTTTTCAAGTGTACTGAACAAAAGTGTTCGCTTTTAAATGAGACATCTTCCAACTCTAAAGACTACGTTCAAAATTTATTGTCACTTCGCTGAAAGCACTCTGATATCTGTTATATTTCTCTCGAAATTATGTTTTCAGCTGTAGCTCTCCGTCGAGACAGTATTTCGACAAAAAGGAGGTGATCTACAGGTATAAAATTTATATTTAATATTCAATTTTTATAAATCTTACTGGTACTAACCCGTATCTATTACCGTTTTTCTCAAGCATATCGAATGGAAAATGCGAAATATTAAAATTTTTGAGATTCAGTTTTGTAGAGTGAACAATATTTTCCTACAAAATGCGATAGGATAAGACGAAGAGATATAAACTGATATTATTCAGTATCCGTATGAGTATCAACTATGAAACGTTTAGTAAACATTTTTTATCTAAGTATTGAATCAATACAAAAGTACCGTCATACGTCTTTTTGTAGAGAATTGTTTACGCTACAAAATTCAGTTATGAAAAAATAATTCTAGAAGATCATATTGCATTACGAAAGATTTTGAAGAAAATCTACATAACTAAAATAGAGTTTGCAGATTTCGTGGAAAATTTGTAGAATTCTACGGGTCTATCTTCACTTTTCTTTCTCACAAAGAACATGACGGGAAAAGGACAGAATTCTACAGTTTCCTAGAATTTGAGAAAACGTATAGAACTTTATCGTGAATTAACTCATGTTTTTGCTATGTTAGACAATTAGTTTACTTTGGTGAACATCTCATCTTTCCCTCTTCACCATTTCCAACCCCTGTGGTTCCATAACCAGCCGATTTCAGGTTACATTCTGTAGAATACTGTACATTTCTTCTTATGTTCTTCCTAAGGAAAGGAGTAACATTACTCACCGAATTCTATAGTCAGTCTCTGAGATTCTGCTGTAGTCTATATAATTCCTAGATTTCTTTTCTGGCACATATTCTATACTGTGTTGGTGAAATAAAATTCCAAAAACTTTGCCCATATTTGCTATCAAAGAGACCGAATTTCTGTAAAATGCACCTCCTCATAGGAAAGGTGTCAATAACACATAAAATGTTGCACCAAACCTGAAGAAATCCGAAAATATGAATTGTAATCTCCGTACAAACAGCGAATATTGGTTCGTATTAGACAACTGAAATTCACTGATTTTTATTTAAAAACAACACTAAAAAAGTTGCTAATATTGAAAACTAGAGAAATCATTAACATAGGACAAAATAACAAGTTTGAAAGAGACTGAATTAGATCACTGAATATAAAAGAAAATTTAGAAACCAAAACGTTAGTGATGTTCGTCGAAAACTAACTATTATAATTTTTTTTCTCATTTGAAATGTTCCATCTTGTACACAAATTGATTGATCAGTTAGATAATGTGATATTTCCATCTGTCGATCTAAAAACAAAATCTATATAGATTCTATAGTGTTGGTTAAAGCAATGAGCAGGGCCCAATAACTAACGAGGGAAGGTTCCCAACTGTCCAATCGCTTTTGAGCTGAACCTAAGTGGACAATAGGTAATCGAGGGTGCTGAATCCGAATATCACAATCGTTTGGGCTAACGTTGGGCTTTTGAATCCAATCAAAAAACCAGTTTTTCAAAAACTCTAAAAGATAACCAAAACCTTTCTTAATAAGGCCTGATTGTAGCCCGCAGGTTTCTGATTAAAATGATATCGTTACCAGCTCTACATGACTTTCCTTTGCAAAGTTATAGAATTTACAAGAAAAGCTCTAAATTAATTTTTTCTTTATTTCTGTAGCTTTGCGCAAATGACAGAAAAAGAACACTTCTTGTTGCGTCAGAAGTCCTGGCAAACACGACAAATATAGCGTTTCAATGGATTCTGGATCATTGATGATCTTTTTTGACATGATTTCTTAATTATTTGTGCTTCGTACGTTATGTCAACTACTTTGAACTCATAGTATATGTCTGGTATATATCGTAAGAACCAACAGTGATTTAGATAATCATACTTGATCATTTTCTTGTATTGTTGACGAATTGAATAAGTTATTGATGCTTGATTAAGTAATTCTAATTTTAATGAATGAATTTCCATTGTCAGACGATTGATTATCTTAAAATGAAGGGATTCGTCAGAGAATCATGATAAATCAATAGTGTTTTATCTTACTTCATCTTTTTCTCGACGCATATTTACAATATTTAATTCTTTCTATTCACAGATGAACAACATAGCATATGAAAATTTAGTTCCGTTATCTTTCTGATGCTTACAGAGTTTAATTCATTGATTAATGATTTTTCTTTTGCTAGAACAGTTCGTTCAATTTCTCTTAATTGTGTTTCCTTGTTAAAAGTGAATAAACCCAATGTAAACAAACAAACAGAAACACTTTTCAGTAAATAACTTACAATACCGGTCATATTTAAACGTAATTGCTCGTTATCTCGCTTTAATTCGCCATTTTCAATAAGTGTCTAAAATAGAACAAATATAAGTCAATAAACAAAATAAACGTAGTGATTAACATTTAGCTGTACATAAATTAAGTATAATAAAGCACAGATATATATTCGACGCAATTTTAATAGAAAACACATTACGAACAACGTTTGCCTATACTATATAACTTATCATACTCTTTTAATTGCTGATGAATTCGATTAACTGATAAATTTTTGATTATATAATTCTAAATGTAATTGATTTATTTTGTTTTTTAAATGAACAAGTCCCTAAATCATTGGACGGCCGGAATAATTTCAAGTAGCTGCTAGAGATAGGCATATACTATTTTCGTACCAATTTTAATTCGTCTTCTTCTTTCAACATATTTGCAATAGTCGACTCTTTCTATCGAAACAAATAAAAAGCATAACACGTTACACTATGAAAAGCGAGTACATGACAGACTTACAGATCTTAATTTATTAATTAATAATTCGTATTTTAATTCACAGGTTTCACTACGTTCGCGTTCAAGTTTCTATAGCAAAAATAGAACGAGATTTTAGTTTGTATAATTTCTACACTTGATAACAAACAGTATTACATACTCCACTCTTCCTTCTATCATTTTTCAGATCATCTGTTAATTGATCTATTCCTCGTACAATAGATCTTTAAAATAAAAGTGAACTACTAGTTTAAACGAGAGAAAGGTATCACCAAATTCCATACTTCTCGCTGTAACTTCGTCCATTCTCGTGTATGACAAGTAATCGCTGAAACAAAGAAAACAAAAATCGTCATGACACCGTTCGTTTTCACTTGGTAACAAACATACTTTATATTCATTTTCAATTTCTGACAAACGATTGATCTCTTTTTTTAATTTTTCCACTTCAAGATCTTTCGTTTGATTTTTTTTCTAAAGTAATGATAAGGTGATGACAGCTGACCAGGATTATTTATTAAAAGTGTTTTACCTACCACAGTAGATTCCATTAGTGAATATGTTTTGGGATTAGAATTTTTCTCTATTGCCGTTATTTTTGCAGTTGAATCTACCGCTGATACATGTACAGCTGAATCAGCATCAGATTTACACGTTTTAAAAAAATCAGATTCACTCATAAGTTGACAGAAGTATAATTTGAAATACAGAGGAAAAACGGGAAGTGGCTAAAAGGAAATATAACAAGACAGTTGTTTATTCTCACAGAAGACATAAAGCTTCGAGAAGTTTATATTGTTCAGTTCAAATTCATTCGTTGACAAAGTAGGGAATTTTTGTCTTATAGTAAATAAATAAAATTAATCACTAAACAAATGAATCATTCGCGCGCTCCGAACAATGGCTTTTTTTCTCATTTTATGTTTTTCTCCAATAGTTTTGTTAACACTCGCTGCATCCTCGCTTATTATTTGAAACATAAAAATTGAACTAGAATATGTCGAGAAAAACAGATCTATGTTCTATTGCTCGATATTTGAGTTATAAATAAGTAAGATTCAGGCAAAAAAGTTATTCTCTCTCTCGCTTGTGATGCCATCTGTGCTGTCACAAATTCCAGTAGCTGGTAATATAATATTCTAAAAGCTTTAAAGTGGTTTATTTAAAAAGTAAAGGGGTGTCGCCCTCCTTTTTACTCCGAAATGTTGCACAGTTCGATGGACCATGCCAGAATAAACCCCTTTATGGGGTCATAAACCTAAATTAAAAATTGTCTACTTTGTCAACGAATGAATATAAACTCCTCGAAGCTTTATGTCTTCTGTGGGAATAAACAACTGTCTTGTTTTATTCAAGGCCTTTGAATAGGCCGAAATAATTCCAATTTGCTCTAGATGTCAAGACACAGAGAATTATAGGAAAAAAGGCGCAAGATATTCAGCGTGTTTTGAACTGCCTAGCAGTGGCGGCGCGAAGAGGGTGGGAGCATGGGGGAGGGGGGTAAATCTAAAAATGGGAGTAAGGTCTCCAAAAATAAGCCCTTGACTCTCCGAGCTCATGGTGAAGTATAAATAATTGATGAGCATCACTCATGAAGTTTGCCTAAACGTTATATTCGCTGTAATTTTCTCAGACGTAGGCGGAAAAAAATAGAAATAAGTCATCTAAGTCGCTTAAGAAAGCTTCTTCAAAGAGCACATTTAATATCAGTTTTCGGAGAAAGCAGCACTTTAATATTCGAAAAAACCAAAATCGGAGTAAATCATCCCTCAGATTTCTCCGAAATTCGGAGTAAATCGTTCTTATCTTTTCACAAATTTGGGAGTAAATCGTTCATATTTTTTAAAAAGTATGGGGGGGTAAGCCCCCCCCCCCGGTCGAACCGCCACTGCTGCCTAGACTCGAGGCGACTTGAATTTTTCTCCTCCAAACGGTACAATGGCAATGGAATTCACTCATATAAATGGAATCAAGGTGATTGAGTATTCGTTTATCCTACGATTTTTTAACCTCGTAGTGTACTGAACGACCAAAAGGGAATGAATAAATGTATAGCATTCAGGCCTTGAACCTAGTTTCGCATGAAGGACGCATTTTGCAGCAAAAGTCTAAATACAAAAGCTGTTCGAAATTGTCATAAACTCGATTCCTAAATTTGAATTTAAGAAATTTGTAATTTTTAAAACCGTGTTTGCTGATTTCAAAATCGAGTTTAAAGAATTTTAGAAACTCCCTCGTCCATATTCCAGAGAATTTGATTCTGAACAACTTTTGCATTCAGACTTTAGCTACAAAATGCTTCCTTCATGCGAAATTAGATTCAAATTCTTTTAGAATACTTTTTCTTTCACAATCCCATCGGGGACGTGAAAGTTGAATTTAGCCTTCAAAACTGGTCCGATGAAATTTTCTTATACATACAGCTCTGTGTCTTCTGTTGACCATAAAATTGACTATGTATCTTGAAGAAGAAAAATTTTATTAAAATAGATAGCTGCTTTCGTATGGAAATAAAACACATGTTTTCTGTTAGTGTCAAATATACTCCCAGGTAAGCAAAAAATTACTGAAGACGGCCGTCGTGCCTAGTCCGAAATGTCCGTATATTCCGTCAGGTCTAATCTGGAACGTCCCTTTCGCTCGTCATGACTAGTCCAATTTTTGACAAATGTCCGTATAACCCGTCTAGACTGGTCTGGAGTGTCTCTTCTACCCTCATAACCAGTCTATCTTGTCCGCTATACCCGCCTAGGCTAGTCCAAAGAAAAAAAAGATGATATGAATAATTCCATAGTCTTAGTTCGAACCATTACATGTCTGCGCAAAGAAACTGACACCCGGACCGGACGGACGTCTGGTACATTGTTCTAGACAAACAGGACTGTGCACGATAACCAGCACTTTCTGATTAGCAAAAGTAATATAGGGTTCAGTTATATGTAGAAGCATCTGTCGCATTGTAAATTTCAATATATAAATGAATAAATGTAAATTTTCCATAAGCGCTGCTTGCATTTGAATATTTTCTTTGTCAAATGAGACGTTTTTCTAATTAAAAGCATTTTACCCAGACCTTTGCAAATACTACTGTTTCCTGAAAATTTTAGTTTCTTTGGATGAGAAATGGCTGAGTTATGAATATTTTAATTGTACATGAACATCGGAGAAAAGTAGATTCTGAAAAATTGACGCCGCTGAACTTTCTGTGATTTAAGGAAGAAAATACAGGTAGCCGCGATGATCAGCGCATTTGGTTGTCAATATAACATGTGCTTATAAGGTTACTGGACATGTCTAGTACGAGATAGGGTGGTCGTCGGAGAATGCCTATAACTCCGGGACTGTAAGAGCTAGAGATTTGGGGCGCTATATTCTGAAACCGATGTTAGATAACAGAGAGGGATGGAAAACCACCCTGTTTTTTTATTACAGTAGAATTTTACTTGAGAATAGTAAAAAATACTCCTGTAGTTTAAAAAACTTCTAGAAAATTTTCTGAAAAAACAAAACTGTTTTCTGTTCGTTTTTGAAGCGTTTAAAGGGTTTCACCGGATTTTTGAAAAACAAATGTTGCCAAGAGATTCACAATGGTCGGTTACCTGTGTTTCCATTCGCTTTCGGAATTGCCACACCTGAAGAACTTTCGATCCTGGGGCTCGTGATTTTACGAAAGGGAACTGATAGATTGCTACCCTGTTTCTAAAGATCGCGTATAAAACCGATTCGAGGAACGGCTTTGCTTATGGAAATACAGGCTAAAGTGCGTTCTTTTGATGGGTGAAAATTGCAAGTCTCTATCTTTAATCGTTCTTGAGTTATTCAAAAAGAACCGAATGCCTAGTGTTATGGGATGGATGCTAGTATTAAAGTGTTCATAAGTTAATATTTATAGTTTATTATTGATAAATAGATAAACATATTGATGATAATTCATCGTCAACTGACTTTGTGTATAGATGAACAATATCATCACTCTCATTAATCAGTTA